CGGTCTCTTATTGAATAAATGATATTACATGGCATACGCAGTCATAATTCGGTGAACTGTAGCTGTGTTGAATTGATGAGAAGTATATGTATTATAGGTAAACTGCTGTTCAAAAGTTTAAATTGATCCAAAAGTGACAAACAGGAGATTTATAATGGTGGAAAATAATTCCAATTTAAATTTTCTTTTTAAATTTCTGTTTATCAAAGAATCATGCTTTGAAGCAGCATAACTGTTTTCAACATTGATAATAATAATAAATGTTTCTTGACATTTCAATATCTTGAGTATCTCTCAATAATGTATACATATGTAGTGTACTTAATATAATGACGGAAGGAAACTTAGTGTTTTGAGTTTCTATATTTCTTGTAGGACTGGGGGTTTTTCCGATTTTAATTTTTTTGAAAGTATTTTTCTTGTATTATTTCTGAACATATAATATGTACTGTATAAGACAAGATTCTACACGATGTAGTTCATGCATCTTTTCTGCAAAGACATTTAAGTCATTTGTTTAACATTTACATCATGTTGACAACTTCATGTGTGGTGCACTTGGAATAGAATTTTCTTGAACAAGAGGGTTAATAAAGAACAAGTTACTTGAATCATGTTGCAGTTAAATCTAAGTATCTCGGGTGTATCTCGGGTGAATCTCATGAAAACTGAAGAACAGGTCTGGTCATATTTCATACCCAACTCAAAAGTTTTTTTTTTTTTTTTTGGCTTAGGGAAAAATTAAGATCCTTTGACATTTTCTTGACAATTATGCACATTTCAACCAAAAAATTGCATTACCATAATTCATGATTCAAATTAAAAGACACAAATACTGTACAAACCTCTGTCTACTTGTAAAAGTCAGCATAAATAATAAATTACACAGTGTTTTGTACAGTATTGTTGCATTTTTAATATATACACACACACATACATACATATGAGAATTGAGAATGTGCATTACAAAAAAAACTCTCAAAAAGTACAATGTCTGGACAAAATATGCTAATGACTAATGTTAATAAAAATATGTCACAGTGCAAACAAACAAAAACAACAAAAGTAGTACACTTTATTTCTATATGCAAAGTACTATTTGTTTTGATTCTTTTTGGGGTGGAACATGACTTGGACGTTCATGAGATCTCACCCATTTTAATGTTGAGGACTACTGTCAGTCATGTCACCCTCAGGAAGTATTAGATGAGTTAAAGAAATACGTCTCATTTCATTTTCAGATTCCCTTTGATGTGTATTGTAAATATGGTTTTGGACACTAGCCAGGGATTTTGAACTGGGATCAACTAGTGAATTAGGGAATGGACTGACATATGTCCTGAGTGAACACCAACACATGCTGTATACTTAAAGGAGGGTGGGTGCTTTGCTGGGTCTGCAGGCGGCTGGAGGAAACTTGCTCTTCTTCATCTCTCCAGATAGAGCCAGTAGCAGGGCTGGGGCGGACAGGTGGTGCGCTGCTGCTTTTTGTTGTTGTGTGCAGTTAATGTAGCTGGCTATGAGCAACGTCACGTCTCGAACCTAAACAACACGAGAAAGCAGAGAAATGCAGTGAGTCACGCTATTCATAGATTTCATGTGAAATAAATTTTCCTCGTGCCAGCTTGACTTTAAAATTGCTTTCATAATATGTGACCCTGGACCACAAAACCAGTCTTAAGTCGCTGGGGTACATTTGTAGCAATAGCCAAAAATACATTGTATTCCAGATTTTCAAATAGTTGTATCTCTGCCAAATATTGTCCGATCCTAACAAACCATACATCAATGGAAAGCTTATTTATTTAGCTTTCAGATGATGTATAAATCTCAATTTTGAAAAATTGACCCTTATGACTGGTTTTGTGGTCCAGGGTCACATATGATGTTTATAGATTTGTAAAGTCATGTTATTTATGTATTCTAATCTATATAATTAAAATGAAAGTAAATGTTTTGGCTAGGCAACGTTATCAATTTTAAATGAAATATTAAATGAAACTGGGCTAAATCTGGCGTGCTGCGCAACAAATCTGGCAGCGAGTAAACAGTCATCCAGGCCAGGTGCGGCAGATGGAGCCGGGCCGATGGACAAGTCTCTGGCAGGTGAAAACTGAACTGAAACTGCCCCGAGAATATGGAGAGGGATTGTGTATGAGGTAGATGTAAATATCAGCAAACGTCAAATTGGTAAGTTTTCACAAGACTTTAGTGGAGTCTGCAGTTCGCTTGACAGTATATAAGGATCTAATCCTAAAGTATCTATTTTAAAAAAAATAGTTTTTCGTTGTTGTTGAAGTGTTATTTTGGTTTCCGATCAGCAAGGAGAGGCTACACATTAGTACACAAGGTCCTAAAGACGGCGGCCGCAACAAAAAAGTCACGTGACTGAAACCCATGAATACTATACTATACATAGCAAACAGAAGTACACATGAGTCTGTGTGTTTCTGTGTACTTTGGTGTGTGTTCTCTCTATGTGTAAAAGAGAATATATGTGACCCTGGACCACAAAACCAGTCATAAGGGTAAATTTTTCGAAACTGAGATGTATACATCACATGGAAGCTGAATAAATAAGCTTTCCATTGATGTATGGTTTGTTAGGATAGGACAATATTTGGCCGAGATACAACTATTTGAAAATCTGGAATCTGAGGGTGCAAAAAAATCTAATTACTGAGAAATAGATTTTTACGTGCACCCCTAGTTTTCTCTTCTTCTTCTCTAAAGCAGCGCAGCATGGCCACGCCCCCTTTACTGCCTTTTCCCGAGGGCGGGGTTTGTGACGTCACGAACCCAGGAAGTAACTCGTTGCAGTCGTTTTTGTAGGCATTAAACTGCCAGAATTTTAAAAGACGATATCTCCGTTTGCATCACAAAACCAGTCATAAGGGTCAGTTTTTCGAAATTGAGATTTATACATCACCTGAAAGCTGAATAAATAAGCTTTCCATTGATGTATGGTTTGTTAGGATAGGACAATATTTGGCCGAGATACAACTATTTTAAAATCTGGACGTTGTCCAAATGAAGTTCTTAGCAATGCATATTACAAATCCAAAATTAAGTTTTAATATAGTTACAGTATGAAATTTACAAAATATCTTCATGGAACATGATCTTTACTTAATATCCTAATGATTTTTGGCATAAAAGAAAAATCAATAATTTTGACCCATACAATGTATTTTTTGTCTATTGCTACAAATATACCCCAGCGACTTAAGACTGTACACTAAAGTTCAAAAGTTGGTAAGATTTTATTTTTGTTTTTGAATATAGTCTTTTATTCTCACCAAGGCTATTAAAACAGTAATAAAGTGAAATAGTATTACAATTTAAAATAACTGTTCTATTTGAATATATTTTAATGTATTCCTGTGATGCAAAGCGGTATTTTCAGCATCATTACTCCAGTTTTCAGTGTCACATGATCCTTCAGAAATCATTCTAAGATGCTGATTTGCTGCTCAAGACACATTTCTTATTATTATTGATGTTGAAAACAGTTGTGCTGCTTAATATTTTTCAGAAACCATGATATACATATTTTTTCAGTATTCTTAAAGGGATACTCCACCCAAAAATTAAAATTCATCATTTACACACCCTCCACGTGTTCCCAAACTGTATTCATTTCTTTCTTCTGCTGAATACAAAAGAAGATATTTTGAAGAATGTTGGTAACCAAACAATTGACGGAAGCCATTGACTTCCGCAGTATGGAAAAAATATTATGGTCAATGGCTACCGTCAACTCTTTGGTTTGGAACAAGTGGAGGGTGAGTAAATGATAACAGAATTTTCATTTTCGGGTGAACTATACCTTTAATTCGATAGAAAATCTCATCGACTTTAATGTGCCTTTGCTGCATGAAAGTATTCATTTCTTTACATTTATTTTCTTACTGGCCCCAGACTTTTAAACACTAGTGTAAAACCTGAATATTTCATATCCTTTTCACACAAATTACAAATGTCCCCACAGTTGGCATTTCCACAAAAACCAACAAAAACAAAAAGACTCTTTTAAGAGAACTAAATACCTACCTTTGACGGGGCCATGGCAAACAGATGCTTCTCTGTAGATTTATCTTTGGATGTGTTTGTGCCAGAACTCAGAGTTACTACCAGCATAAAGTCCTGACCACACGCTCCAAATGTCACGATGCTTTTATAAGGGTAGGACGCAAGGACTTTCTAGAAAACAAGTGGTGAAAACTCAACTTAGCTCTTCACTAAAAGCATGAAGTGATTTGGAAATAATGTGAAACTCCGTAGAGAATGTGTCCACTTACTACAGAGTTGAACTCTAGCATGCTGACTCCATCTTCATGTACTGCCAACCAAACACGCACGTTCTTCTGTGATGGAGTTACAGACTGCAGGGAGAGAGAGAGTGAGATTAAGAAACAATGCCACAGCATTTACACTTTTTTGAGAATTTAAATTGTACACATCGCCTTTAGCCTTAGAGGGACACTCACCTCAGCCTCAAATAGTTTGGCTCCAAAAAATGACCACTTGCGAGCCACGGTTAGGTAAATTCGTATGCACTCTGATGAACTCCGACCCCTCAGAGATGCCCATCGGGCAGAGAGCCTCTGCAGCAACTGCCTGAGAAAATGTGTGTTTCAGTGCGTAAGATGGCCAAACAGATTCTTTGTGTTCATATTTGAGATTATGTCATGCACTCAAGGCGCAAATACCTCATTTGTTCCTCAGTGCAGGAGTGTCGGTAATGCTTCGGGTAGAAGCGCTCTAGAACCTGTTTCAGGGTCTGGTTAGATTTGGTCTGTGCAGCTCCTGAAGCACCTGGACTAGAAAATGGATGCTCAAAGTCCCCAAACTCCACCTGCATGACACAAAAAATGAATATTAAAAAAAAGAAATGATGTTTACTCAAGTAAATGAAGCCTGTATTAGGACCATTAAGATTTTATTTTTTGGATGGTGACATTATTTCTCTGACAATTAAGCAGATTTCTTCTCAAATTATCATTACTGTAATGTGCTATTACACATTATAATTGCCATTATCATCCATTAACAAATGATTGTAATACAATGAGTATTTATTTAGACGAATTTGAATTAAAAATAGCACAACAATACTCCTGTACTGTATAAATACTATTAATTTTATTGTTATATTTTATAGCAAGTTACAGTAGTGATTGATAGTAATGATTTATTTTGCATTATGGAAATGAAAATTATGTAAAAGTACACACACACACACACGCACACGCACGCACGCACACAACGGTACCTAAAGTTGAGCTTATTTTCATTATAAGTGTGTAAGCCATCATGATTTATTTTTCTGATACTTTTCAAATGTCTTTTATGTATAGATTGTATTGCTTTACTTTTATGTCCCAGACTTAAAATTTTAAAATATAAAAATTCCATTAAACTCCATCCATTCAACATTAATTATTATACTTAAAACTATGATGGTCTAAACAAAATATGTTAATTGTTTCATTATTTATCATGTGTAAATGATTTATATAATTTTTACACAAATTACTTTTTTTTTTAAATTGGTTTTGAATTGACCTGGAAACTGTTACAATAAGAAAAATTTAATTAATGGTACCTAAAATTGAACTTGTTTTCTTCGGAGATACTGTAAGCAATTTATTTTAGACAGGGATTGGATGGGAATCATACAGAATTCACAGATTATGGTTCTAAAAGGATACTGTTAATATTATGTTAGTATTTGCAGAGCTGAGGGAGCTGATTTGTGTTTCTGACATTAAAAGAACATTCAGTAAATTAATTCAGAATTCATTAAAAAACTAGTTGCATTGCATGATTGTTGATACATGCAACCAGCAAGGACAACTGAAAAATGTATCGTCTTGTATTATTTCATGGCACCGTCTTTCTCTGTGATCACACATTTAATTCAGACTGCAAATGCAAATGAAAAAAACTAGCCAATTCATTTTCTGCATTTGAGTTTGCTGACATCGGGTTGGTCGAGGTGTCTTTGGAAGCGTGGTTTCAGACAGAGGGTGTGATTTTAAATGTAGTGGGCTGATAATTCATTGACAAAGAGAGGTAAAATATAACCTGAACAGGTTTGTGAGACGCATTCATATTCTCAGGAGCAGCACTGTGTACCTGAGCAAGCAGGGCGGCCATTTCTAAAGCAAGCTCTTTGTTGACAGGGAAGTGACCTGCTGTAATTTCCTCATTTGTTTGGTACGCCAGAAGCAAACGCTCTCTCTCGGTCTCCCCTCTCATCTGCTGGGAGAAGTATAACCTAGAGGGAGCAAACTAGTGGTTAGTCACAAATGATGGCCTTTTGGAAATAGGCATTTTGTTTATGCTTAAGCATCCGTACTCTACCGATTCTTATAAGTGAGTTTCACCGTCCTGGCGTTCTCTGATTTGCCCGTGTGCTGCTCCTTCGAGGCCTGCTCCCATTTTGAAATAATGTCACAGATCTGAGGACACAACACATTTTTTAAGATAAAGACACAAAGTACAGTTTCTGAAATAATAGGGTGTTTTTGTGTGAGTCTGACCTTCAGGTTTCCCTGAAGACAGTGCTCAAGGTCTTTGCCAGTGGGGTCGTCAGAATAAAGGCTGAAACCAGACTGAGCGGTTTTCCTCGTGCCCGTGTCCTGGTTCAACCGACTCTGAAACTCCTCCACTGTGGTTGAAGCATCAAAACTAACAACCTGACACACACAGACTGTTAGATTAGACAGAGAGATGGTCAATTTCCTGTTGTGTGTAATTTACCTTCATGATTCTAAACTGTTCTCAGACTTTTTACCAATGAATTTCCATGACTTTTCCAGTTTTTCATGGTTATTGGATCAGGATTTAATCCTTTTACAGAGTGGTGTGGATGAGTAAGTTTTTTTTTTCTCTCAAAGAAATTAATACTTATATTCAGCATATTGAGCATATATCGCAATTGTTTTCGATAATAAGAAATATGTTTGAGTACCAAATCATCATATTAAATTGATTTCTGAAAGACTGGAGTAATGATGCTGGAAATTCAGCTTTGCCATTACAGCAATAAATTACATTTTAAAAAATATTCAAACTGAAAAAAGTTATTTTGAATTGCAATGATATTTCACAATATTGCAGTTTTTACTGCAATATTTTTAAAGATTTTTTGAGAGCCGAGCATAACTAAAAAAAAAATACTATAATTAATTCTCATTCAAATTAAATTTACATGACCATGGGATTTTTTTTTTTTTTGAAGAATCTTCATGCAGCTTTTTTTCTATACATTTGACAGATACTGAAAAGCAACTAGCAAATAATCAGTTTTTGCATTGGGTATCAAACCCAAGTTGTTAACATCATGCTTTTCCATTCAAACTACAGGAAAATGATTCACAGTGACTACATCAAGATACAAAATGCACAATAAACTGTTTTTTATACTATTAATTAGGCATTTTTAAAGGGGTCCTATTATGCTCTTTTACAAAGTCTTGATTTAGTTTTGGGGGTGTACTAGAACAGGCCCTCATACTAGGTTGTTCGAAAAACGTATTATTTTTCACATATTTTACACTATTACAACACCTCTCTCCTCAGTCTGGCATGAACGGCTCGAATAGTTCCTGTATCAAGTGAAGGGCCGCCTTCTGAAATACGAAATGTGTTGTGATTGGTTAGCTGAGTCAGTGTGTGCTGTTCAAATCAGTCTCAGCCTCAAGCAGCACACCCACACACCACAGTCCTTTCATTTAGAGGTGTTTACCAGCGCACAAATGCTTGGGGGGCAAGATTTGAGGGGCTCCTGCTGGCCATAAGCGACTGAATAAGCACTTTTTTAACGTTACAGTCTTGTTGGCTTATAGTATATGTAATCGCATGAAAATGAAAACAGAAAAAGTTTCTTAAAATTAGTTCTTACAGGGATAGTTCACACAAAAATTCAAATTCTGTCATTAAATACTCCCCCTCATGTTGTTTCAAACCCGTAAGACAGCAAGGGAACTATCATTTTCAAGGCCCAGAAAGGTAGTAGACATTGCTAAAATAGTTCATGTGACTATTTTAGGTGGCATGTCTTCCTCTTATGCCGTTTAGATTAAGAATAACAATTGTGAAGAATATTTTTATAACAATTTCTACTAATATTTTAGAGCATGGCGTAACCAAACTGTACATCCATTATAAATATGCCTGTATATCAGCTTTCATCCAACTAACTGAAATCGGTGCTACATTTGTGTTCCTTATAAACTACCACAGATTCACTCTTTCATTTCTTACAAACACAGGTGGTGCCATCATGTATTGATAGTATTGAAAATTGTAGTATTACTGCAGTTAAAGGGGTCATATGATGTTGCTAAAAAGAACATTATTTTGTGTATTTGGTGTAATGAAATGTGTTTATGTGGTTTAAGGTTAAAAAAACACATTATTTTCCACATACTGTACCCATTACAAACCAGGCATTTGTTGCATCCAGTGGGGACATAATTACTGATTATAATGACTTATACTGTGTTTTTACACTTTGCGCTGCATATCGCGCTGCGCAAACATAAAACCATGTCTGCATTTGTAGACGGCCCCGGGCTGGACTCCGCTTCGTCCACGGTGAAAGCCGATACGGCGATCCATAGCGCAAAGTTAATATATTTCCTCAGCGACCAGCACGGATCAGCTCCAGGCATGACGAAGCGGATATCGTCCTCTTTTGGAAGACCAAACAAAGTAGTTTCGCTTTCACAATGAAACACACAGCGTCTTCACGACATGGCGGCGGCAACAACAATACTACAGCGAGAATAAAAGTTACGCCTTCTTTCTTTGCGTGAACGTTTGGGCGGCGTTATGCAAATCTTCCCACACAGTGACGTAGACATGTGGGGGCGTGTTTAAACGAGGCGTTTTAGGAGGTCGTGGACAAGTCTTAACTTTTATAAAGAATATCTCTTTGGATTTAAGACTTTAGTCTTTGCAACTTTACAGATCTTCTTTATGCACCAAGAGCTTGTAACACTCCAAAGAGAAAGGAAAAATTGAAATCGCATCATATGACCCCTTTAAGGGAAAAAAAGAGAGTGAAAACCCCCATAAACTACTACTACTAAATATCATTTAAATTATAAGATTAAACAAACAAATAATGAAATATATTACTATTGCAATAATACTATTGTATTGTAAAATAAAAAGAGCACTTAAAATAATAATATTAATAATAATAATAATAACTGTAATAGTTATTATTCAATTAATATTTTATTTTACAAATCAATTAAGAAATGTATTACTATTGTACTGTAAAATAATAATAATAATAATCAAAAACCCCAAGTACTTAATACTACTACTACTATTTTGCACATACCCCCCTCAAAATTTGCTCTTGTGTTCACTGGCCATCTGATCGACACTCCTGGGAGCCAATCACAGAGATTCCTGCTTAATTATTTCAGTAATATACTGGGATTCATTTCCCATAGCTAATTTTTGAACAGGAGGCCTGTCTTCCCCTTATACTTTTTGTGCCTGATGTGAGACATTCCACCACAGTTAAATATATGAAATGAATGCAGATATGAGACTTTTACCTGGATCTCCCTCTATGCTGAGCAGTTTACCAAGCAGCTGCTCGAACTCAGTCCCCACCTGCTCCACTGCGCTGCCCGCGGCCACAGACAGATGGTACAGCCAGGCCGTCTGCAGGACAGGAACACATGAACTACCCAAACATTTAGGATTATCTTTGAATATATTCCTTTTCTGTACCATGATGAAATTAGATCCTTTGTTAAACAGTACACATACTAAAATCACACTTTTAAAAGGAGTACTATGTAAATAATATACATCAAAATAATGCAAACTCAATGAAATGGTTTCAGACAGTTAATTGCTTGTAATTTATAATTAAATGAAAATTATTAAAGTTTAAATTTCATAATTATTTTATTGTCTTTGTAATATGGATGAAGTGTACTGACCATCTTTTAAAGGGATAGTTCACCTAGAAATGAAAATTTGAAGTTTATCTGCTTACCCCCAGGGCATCCAAGATGTAGGTGACTTTGTTTCTTCAGTAGAACACAAACGGAGATTCTTAACTCAAACCGTTGCAGTCTGTCAGTCTTATAATGCAAGTGGACTGACAGTACTGAGCAGAGACTTCAGCTACGTCACATGACTTCTGCACTTCCTCCACACGAGCCTCCCACAGTTTGATCTGACCCAGAGGAAACTGGGCAGGGAAATACAACATCAGTGCATGCACACATACAGAAGTCCTGTGCAGGATGACTGTAATTGAATGAGACAGAAGACCTTGTCCTCTTGAGTTCTGAAGTAGCATACATGCAGTCGAAACCGCGCACACCGCTAATGCTTAGAGTAGCCATGCTTCACCTTAAAGAGTCAGACATGCACATGATTACTGTTTCGTTCCCTCGATTTGCTAATTTGTTCCCTCGATTTACTAATTTGTTCTCTCGATTTATAAATCGTGTGCACGATTTAGCAAATCGAGGGAACGAATTAGTAAATCGTGCGCACAATTTATAAACCGAGGGAACGAAATAGTAAATCATGCGCACGATTTAGCCTACTATTTTTTTCCTGTATGCCATGTGCGGGGCTCCGTAGAAACATGTATGTCATGTGTTTAATTTTTTCATAAATATATTCAAATGACACATTTGTAATGACGGAGTTACAATTTACTAACTGTACAGTTTACAGTTAACTAATTTGACATTATTACAAAGTAGACGTTTTAAAAGTGTACTTAATTTAGTCATGAAAATGTGCTCACTTACATTTTTACTGAATTTATTTGACATTGTCTACAAGTACAGTTTTTAAAAATATACTTTTAAGATTTGAAATACACATTCAGCACAATTAAGTGCACGTCTTTTTCACAAGGGATGTGCAACAGTTATTTGTGGCTCTATTTTAACTAAATACATTACGGCTTGCCTACCTTCTCCTGAGGAGAGTCGATGAGCAGGTATGTCGGGTCCTGATTCACTGACTGAATGGAGAGTGTGTACTGAGCAGAGACTTCAGCTACGTCACATGACTTCTGCACTTCCTCCACACGAGCCTCCCACAGTTTGATCTGACCCAGAGGAAACTGGGCAGGGAAATACAACATCAGTGCATGCACACATACAGAAGTCCTGTGCAGGATGACTGTAATTGAATGAGACAGAAGACCTTGTCCTCTTGATTTCTGAAGTAGTAGAGAGTCTTCCCAAACAGCGCACACCGCACATGCTTAGAGTAGCCATGCTTCACCTTAAAGAGTCAGAGACAAACATTTTATCTTGCTGTATGTTATACCTGGGTTATGATTTCACACTTTCATCTCTCAAGTTTTTTTTTTTATATCAGTTTACATACCGTACTTTACAGAGATTAAATAAGTGATGACAAAGTTTTGCCTAGGAAAATAATTTAAATAAATTTTTTTAACACGTTGACCGCTATATCGGCATATTATCACTGTACGAACCTGTTTTTGAATTGAAAGTAGAAAATTTGAGTAGAACAACGACATATTTTAATTTAAATAATTTAATATGTAGTCTTATAGGCTATTCTTTCCAGCGATAATACAGTATA